AGAGCAGCCCGAGACCAGCACACCCTGGAGAGCGCCATCTTCACAGGGAGGGAGGGCGGCGGGGGAACTTGTCTTCTGGTCAAAGTTCACGCCTTGTTTGTCCAAAGACGCATGCGCCTCTCCTGAGCGCTGATTGGTACTCAGAGCCCGCTGGGCTCGGAAAGGAGCCAGACGACTGAGGGACTCGGACTCGGTGCGCGAGAAGGACTCGGATTGGACACGGCCGTACTTCCTGTTTTAAGGCGCCGGAAACGGGCTATCCCCGAAGGGGAGAGGGTTTACGCCGGTGGTGGAGTTTGTGGTCGCGAGGACACCCTCTCCTTGAGGAACCTAGTGACCCTCCGTAATTCCCTAGGGCCACACAGCCTTCCGGCGCCGCCTTTATCCTACCCGTACCCGGGCCTCACGGCCCTGGCAGGTACCCGTTGCCAGTCTGCAGTGCTCGGGGCCATGGCGCCTCCTGGGGACTGGGAGGACCCTCGGCGCCCTCTAGCGGTGGCGGCCCGAGTAGCTCCAGAACTGTTTCCTCCTGTCCAGTCAGCCTGGCGGCGGAGGCTGAAGGCTAGGAGCGGCCCCTCTGCCGACTAAGTATGGTTTTTCCTTTTTGAAGAAATGTTTTGGCGTTCCAGAACTAGGTTTGTGTTTCATTAAGCGCCTGCTAAAAAACAAGTTTGGGCTCAAGCGTTACTGTTCTGAGAGGCTTTCTCTGGCTACTTTCTCCGGAGTGGTACCCGCAAAAGGGGTTCGTTACGCCGTCGCGCAGCTGTTTTCTTCATAGCACTTGTCACTTGGGTTGTTTACGCCTTTGCCTCCTTGCCCGCCCACTCGTGTAGTCGGAGGAAAAATTGTGAAACATGATCCTGGAGTGGTTCTCTGCTAGTGGTGGGTAGATGGGGTGAGCAGGATATGAAGTTGAGTAAGACGCGAGCTCCGTCTTCAGTAGTTGCCAGGTCGTGCCAACTGCTATGTCTCTCGACAGTGTTCACCTGTCGAACTCTGGAATACCCCTGGAAAGAAGGGAACAGACTTAGACACAGGGTTGTGGAGGAACTGGGAAGCGACTGCGTCTGGAAGGATGGAATGGAGGGATGGCACTTTACGAAGTAAGAGGACGGCAGGCTGCCTGGCCCCTTAGCTCACGTAGTCATGTGTATGTGCAGGGAACAGCGGAATCTGAGCTAAATAATAATGACCTTTAAGGACCAGCAGAGCGCACACTCTGGCGCGGGCGATGCTGCCCAACTGGCAGAGGTGAAAGGAAACTTTCAGCTAGAGAAGGCCAGTTGGGGCTTATTTAGACCAAGGGCTGCAACATGCTCCACACCTGCAGTTGGTAATAGACCCCTAGCTTTACTTTCCGCTTCTCCCATCCCCCATTGCCCTGTAAAGACAGCCTGGGGGAACCAGCAGGTGGCATAGCGGTTACTTCACTGGACTCCCACATGGCCAACCGGGTTCGAGTCCTGAACCCAGTAGCTTCAAACACTCCGGGCGTGCGTGCCCAAGATCCCAGGAAGAGAATGGAGGAGTTGTGGTGTGGCTTTAACCACCCCCCCTTTCTCTCTTTCTGTCTCTTGTCTGTCTCTGGTGAGCGCACACACCCTATAGCAAAAATTTCTCTTTAAAAAAATAAATAAACCTGGGAAAGGCTCAGGGCTGTGGCATTCTCCATCAGAGACGCTGGGTCCGCCTGACCAGGGCTTTTCTCTGTCTCTCTGTGTGATTGTCCTTTCCAAAATCCATTGCCCTGCCCACTCTGGGAGGACTCCCTACTCCCTCTCTTATTTAGCAGGTCTAGGCATATATGAAAAGCTGGACCCCAGGTGGCCGGCTGAGGTTTGCATTCCAGTCCTGTGGCTTAAAAAACAAGCTAGGGGGCCAGAGGTCGCATGCTGGTTGGGGCCCTGGACTCCCACATGGTTGACAGTCATTAGAATCCTAGACCTGGCAGCTTGTTTTCTCACTTTCTCTCTTCTCTCTTTCTCAATTTGCCTATAGCAAATTAAAAATAAATTAAATTAAATAAATAACTATTTTTTAAAAAATGCTTGGAGGGCCAGCAGATGGTGTGGTGGTTGGGGCGCTGGATTCCCACATAGTCCACCACAGTTCGAGGCCCAGACCTAACAGCTTACTTTCTCACTTTCTCTCACACCCTAAAACAAATTTTTAAAATAATAATTGTAGGATAGGCAGGTGGTGTGGTAGTTAAGGGCACTGGACTCCCACATGGTCGACTGACCCTGGTTTGAGTCCTAGACCTGGAGACTTGCACTCTCACTTTCCCTCTCTCTCCGTCTCTCTCTCTGTCCCTCTCTGGTCAAATTAAAAGTTAAATATTTATTTAACTTAATGATCATGGCACCTGCCAGTCCTAATAAATAAAATAAGTCTTAGGTAATAATCATAAATAAATGATTATTTTTAAAAAAAAAAGGAAAAATTTAAAAGCAAATGAAAACACAAGCTAGGTTGGGGCCAACTGGTGGCATGATGGTTATGATGGCTGGAACTCACATGGCAGACTAATCCATTGGAGTCCTGGATTAGCAGCTTGAAAGACACTACAGGTGCTTGCAAGTGTGTGCCCAAAATCCCAAAAGGAGGGAGGAATGTAGGAGAAGGGAGTCCCCCGTTGCCATCCCCTATGGGAAGTGCTTTCTCACTTTCCCTGTCTCTCCCTGGTGAGCCCATGTGGCCTCAAGCAAATACTTTTTTTCATCTCAAGTACTCTAGCAAATTAAAAAAAAAACAAAACAAAACAAAACAAAAAAACAACCCAAACCAAAAAAACAAACAAAAAAAAAACAAAGAAAAACAAGCTGGGGACCAAGAGTTGGCATGGTGGTTAAGGTGCTGGACTCCCACATGGCTGAATAAGGTTCGAGTCCTGGATCTGGTGACTTGCTTTCTCACTCCCCCCGCTTCTCTCTTCTGTCTCTCTCTGGTAAGCACAGGTGCCCTGTGACACATTAAAAATAACAATAAAAAATAAAAATGATAAATAATAAAGAAATTTTAAAAATAAAATCCTGATAGCATAGAGAATAGAGGAGGGGACATTGCAGTGTGACCATGCCCCACTTGTGGCCCCTTTCTCCTCTCTCATGTCTCTCTGTCTCTGGTGACCACACACACCCTCTTGGAATTAAAATAAAAGAAAAAGTAAAATTTTATATTGAGGGACTGGCAGGTGGCATGGTGATTAAGGGTGCTGGACTCCCACATGGCTGACCATGGTTCAAGTCCCAGACCTGGAGGCTTGCTTTCTCACTTTCCCTCTCTCTGTCTCTCTCTGGAAATATTAAAATAATAATAAAAAATAAGTAATTCTTAAGAAAAGAAATTTTATATTGAGACCCAGTTCACATATGAAATAAAAGTTTAATATAAGAATATCTACCCTTGTTATATATGCTATATTTTCTTACTGCATTCTATTATTTTTTGGGGGGGGGTTTGCTATAGGGCACATGTGCATGCCAGAAAGACAGAGACAGAGAGACAGAAAGCGAGAAATCACCCCCCAGGGTGATGGCCACACCTCAATCTCTTCTCCTTCATTCTCCTCTTGAGATCTTGGGCATGCACGTACACGTGCCTGGCGTGCATTTAAGCCACCAGGTCCGGGACTCGAACCGCGATCAACTACATGGGAGTCCAGTGACAGCCATTATGCCATCTACTGATCCCTATTCTATTTCATTTTTGTTTTTGTTTTTTTAGAGAGATTTTTGCGATAGGGCACTTGTGCTCACTGGAGAGATAGAGAGACAGAGAGTGAGAAATCATCCCTAGGGGAATGGCCACGCTGTAATCCCTTATCCTCCATTATCCTCCTGGGATTTGGGGCACATCTGCATATGCACCAGGTGTGAATTTTAAGCCACTAAGTCCAGAACTCGGAACAGTGGTCAACTATATGGGAGTCCAGCTATGTAACTATTACTCCATCTCCTGGTCCCTGTATTTCAGTTTTGTGAAATACTGCACATGACCCAGTAAATTGATTT